TACTGGATATCACAAAAAATCTAAAAATACCAATTGATTTTTCTGTTCAATGACACTCTATGTCTGAGCCTAAGTTATTTGCCAACTTTCCATACTCAGAACGTAACTGAAAATCCAGAAAGAAACATGAAGCCTCTGATTAACCAAAGCAGTTCACAGATTACTGTGACTTATACGAGCCCTTTGCATCGTCACTCAGAAACTTTCTTTATACACGATTCTATCAATACTATATAGGATACAGATGCTGACGTATGTACAGGCAGATCATATAATTCACCATATAGAGGGAAGCAGAAGAATGTTGACCTTAACCCTACGAAGGTAAGCTGCAGCAGGGAGGAGACAGGGCATGATTTAGAAAATAAAGGTGTTAGGAGAGCTCCAGAACATAGTGGTCAGTGTAGACCCAAGGCAGGATCCTCATAAAGAGGTGCTCAGCGTTAAAGCAATCAGGAGATCACGTGGGTCTGGGAGGGCGAAAGCAGCTCTAAGGAGCTGTGGGTGTTGAGGAGCGAGTGTGCGGTGAAAGAAATAGCTGATCGCTCGAGGTCAAGGGGATCTTTATTTAGGACGGAGGAAACTTGAGTCTGTTTTCAGTGTGAGGAGGAGGAGGAGCCAGGAGGAAGGCAGACCTTGGAAGAGAAATGGGGGGGGGGGGTGGCAACTGTGTAAGCAAAGGGCCGGAAGGGATGGCAAGAAAAGTCCAGAGAGGGTTAGCCCGGAAGATCACCTCTACCACGGGAAGCCCTCGGCTCTCCCTCCAACCTGATTGTTTCATCTCAGTGGTTCCATAAGGAAGCAGTGTAGTGTTTTGTTTTAAGGTTGATTTATTTTTGAGAGAGAGCGCGCGAGCAGGGGAGGGACAGAGAGAGACAGAAGAAGACACAGAATCCAAAGCAGGCTCCTTCCAGGCTCTGAGCTGTCAGCACACAGCATGACACAGGCTCGAACCCGCTAATCAGGAGATCGTGACCTGGGCCGACGTCGGATGCTTAATCGACTGAGCCACCCAGGCGCCCCGGAAGCGGTGTAGTTTAAAACACTGCTACTCACAGCCAGTGCTGACCGGAGGCATCAGGACCACCTGGGGTCTTTGCTGAAGCTCTGGCCCTACCCCAGACCTGCTGAGTCAGAACCGGCTCATTAACAAGATTGCAGGTGATGCTTATTCAAGTCTGAGACGTTGGGGCGCCTGGGTGACTCAGTCGGTTAAGCGTCGCGTCGGACTTCGGCTCAGGTCATGATCTCATAGTTCATGGGTTTGAGCCCCACGTTGTGCTGACAGCTCAGAGCCTGGATGTAGCCTGCTTCGGATTCTGTGTCTCCCCCCCACCCTCTCTACCCCTGTCCCACTCGTGCTCAGACTCTCTCTCTCAAAAATAAACATACATTATAAAAATTAAAAAATAAAAAATAAAGTCTAAGACTCACTGGTTTAAAGTAGGGGTCAGAAAGATGGGCACTGAAATCCTACTGGACTGTTTGAATCAGCTCTACGCTGACCCCGTGGGACGGGCCCTTGGGCAGGCCTCTTTAAACCTCGGGATTTTTTCCCCTGTAGAATGAGGATAATAGTATGATGTCTCAGGGCCACCGTACAGATTAAATGAGATAACGAAGGCAAAGAGGTTGGCACTGAGCGTGGCTGGCATGTTATTAGTGTTCATCCCTCCTAGCCTTTTTGTAAAACAGCTTCATGGAGACCCGATCTGAACCCCTCTAGGAAAGGACCTCACCAAGGATGGGAACAAGCTTCACTGTCTTCATCCCACGGCATCCGACTCAGAGACCCACACACAGACGTGTAATACATACGTGCTGAGAGGAAACCAGCATGGTGACATGGAGAAACTATCCCAAGGCAAATACTAAAGCTCTTTCTTTGATCGTATTCATACAAAAGCCAGTTCGAAATAGGTTATGAACTTGTCCGGGACTAAAGGATCAACTTTTAGAAGAGAATAAGCAAGGTATGAGGCGAAACAAATGCCTCTTCCAAAGCCTCCTGCAACTAGGAGTGCCGTAAGAAAGGGAGACAGAGATCTCTCTGAACCGGACGTCTAGGGGCTACGTTCCCACCCAAGGTCAGCAAGGAAAGCCATCCTGAGACGTTGCATCTGAGGGATAAAGTTTAATGCTTGGGGAAAGCACGTAAGTCAAAGCACACCGCTAGGGGAGTTTCTTCATTTTAGGCAAGGCTCCAATAATGAAGCAGCTGGCTTTATCGAAGGCACCTTCATTTCCTGTGTTGGCAAAAGCATTCCATATAAACCCCATCACACTTGTAAGACAAATCTGCTTGTATTATTAGATATCAAAGAAAAAAACCAGAGCTTATAACAGAGAACGCTCACTTCCGTAGTGAGTAACACGTAACAATGGCAAATTATTTCATAGACGGTTAAATTTGGATATGAAGAATCCAAAGTTATTCCATTGCATCCAATCCATTCACCCATTGGGCAATGGGCTAGATCCTGGGTGGTAAGAGAGCTGGGACCCAGATGTCTTGTTGGGTGCCCCCCTACAGAGGGAGGAGGTGCCAGGACACGGTGCCAGGAATCTGACCCTGGAGCCCAGAGGCAAATAGATGGAAGCTTCTGGAAAGATCTCCTCTGATAACACTTCCCTGGCACGTAAGGGAAGGCAGAACATTTCAGGGAGGGAGGCCAGCAAGCCGGTGGCATGAAAAACCCTGAGGGGGAGGCTATGAAGTCGGGCTCTCACCTGTCATCAGTGGGAAACCACGGAAGGTTTGACTTTTGAGAAGCGACAGGATCAGACCCTGTTTAGGTCATTCTGAGGATGGATTGGACAGCGGGGAACTTGGGGGCAAAAGGACTAAGTAAGGGCAATGCACTCATCCAGGGAAGGGACAAGGAGGCTCGGGAGGAGGTGGTGGGCAGGTGCATCATTTCAGAGTCAGATGTAGTGGCCTTGGTGACCTATAGGGAGAGGAGTCAAGGTGATGGCACAGCTTCTGGTTCAGAGTTACAAAATAATGAAGCCCAGGACTGCAGGAAAGCTCCAGACTGGAAATTCTCCTGGTCGTGGGGAAGCCACTGTGAGTGTCACTGTAACCAGCGTCCTAAGAGCCCAGGAAGTCCTACAATGAGGAGAGGACTCCCTTCGTGTCCGACAATAAAAACACACCTCTGGTGGTTCCCCCACCTCGGCTCTCTGCACAGCCTGTGACCCCTGAACAGCCGCTCTCGGGACATCCCTGCCCCGCTGAAGACCAGCGGCCCTTTTCTTCAGATTCAAATCCTCAACAGGAGAATTTTTAACGGCCCCATATGTTAACAAAGATGTGCATTCTGAACTGATATTCACAGCCTTCCAGAGGAGTGGTTACCAAGAAGCAGTGGGGTCTCAAAAGTACAAGCAAAAGCGGGGTCTCCTGGGTCTGTCAAATGAAAGGGATATAAGCTGGGTACTTCAACCAAATTTTACTCTGGAAGTTATGCTTCTGGCACCAGAGTTAGATGCGGTTGCAAAAAAGCATTGCCTGGAGGGCTAACGAGCATTGTCCCACTCTCAACAGAAGGAAGCGTGATGAGCAGTGTCTCTGCTGTCTGTGGCTCCTCCTCTCCCCCCGACCCCCCAGAGCAGTGGCAAGGATGGCCCACTCCTGGCAAGACACCCAACTGCTTGGCTCAAGAGTTCCCCTGGTCTGGTGAGAAGAGGCAGCCTCTATATCCAGCTTCTCTCTGGAATGGGAGGGAGCATTTATACCTTGCCGCTTTTCTCAGCAAGGAAAACCCCAGGATCTTGGTCAGAGGCATGCTTCACCAGGGGAGACTGTCCCACATTACAGAGGATTTGTGATTCTTAACCACATTGCCCCACATGCTGGCCACGGTCGTCGTGAAAACCAGAAAGGCCCCCAAGCATTTCCAAATGCCTGCTGAAGACATGCCACCACCTCTGGTTTGAGAACCACAGCAGGGTTCACCGATGAAACTCATCTCTATAAATACTCTGTTTGCTACCTGATAAAAATAATTACTGCTCCTACTGGTCTATCTGATATGGTACTAAAAAAAAAACAATCTTTTTGGGGCGCCTGGGTGGCTCAGTCGGTTAAGCGTTCAACCTCGGCTCCGGTCACGATCTCGTGGTTGGTGAGTTCGAGCCCCGTGTCGGGCTCTGTGCTGACAGCTCAGAGCCTGGAGCCTGCTTCAGATTCTGTGCCTCCCTCTCTCTCTGCTCCTCCCCCAGTTGCATTCTGTCTCTCTCTCTCTCTTAAAAATAAACAATAAAAAAAATTTTGTAATCTTTTTTTTTAAAGGAGCAATATGTCAAATCAACCATAAATGTTCTATAGCTCTTTGCTGTTTTTTGACAGAAGCAAATCACTAAGCCAAATTACAGAACCACAGCTTTCTCTAGGGCTTAAAAAGGCTACTAACAAATTTTTCTCTTGGCGAATTTAAAAATGAAATACAGTTCAAAAATCTAGAAACTAAAGCTTGAGGGTTTTTTGTTGTTTCTTGTTTTTAAATTCTGGAACATCAGAGGTTCTATAAGAAGAATCAGAGTACCAAGGTAAAGATCCCTCAAAACAAAGATTATACAAAAGGATCACTGGCGATTTACATTTCCACGTGTGAAATAAAACGTGCCCTTCTGAACTGCACCCGCCGTACTTGTGATACGATTATTGAAGTACCCTGTATTGTGAATATGCTTTTAATTCCAAGGCTTCAAGTGCTCCCATTTAGACAGAATGTATTTACTAAACTATATTCATTAAATTGTTAGTACAAACTTCTCTGTATCATAAGGCTCTTTCATTTTTAAGGAGAAAAAATCCAGTCATTCCAAACCCCTAAAAAACATGCCCAAGGGCACACAGAGAAGCAACTAGCAATAAGTAGCACATACTGGCAGGAACATTCTAGCGCCTGAAGTCAGCAAACCCTAGGAAGCATGCTCCGACAGATAGCACTTAATCAACAGCTGTATTTACATTTATAGGAAGATTTTTCACTTACTTCAAATTTCTGTTTAATCCTTGTTCCTCTAAGTTAAAGGGGGGGGGGGGAAAAAAAAAATCACACTGAAATTTCTTATTTTTCTAATTAAAAAATAAAAACCCGGCTTTGGATGTCCTCAAGTATATTCTTTGTGTCTCCTTTCAACGGCCGCTACTTTCAAATTCTAAACAAAAAGCAAAATATCAAAAATTAGCCCCAGGAACACTGTACAAAATCAAATATCACCACGCAAACTAGGCAACGGCATCAGAAGTGATGATTCAGAACAGGATAAATTTAGATCGGTGCTTTCCAAAAGGCGTCTGGATGCCAAATGCAGTAAAAAGGTGAAGGCTACATCCCATAAGTTTCTCGGAAGAAAGATCGCCAAAATATTGAAAAGAGTCTTCTTTTTGAAGTTTTCAGTGCCCTGGTGTCCTTGACGCTGAACTTCCCCAATCTGGCCTCGGTATGGCCATCCATTACTGGGTAAATCCACGTGAAACCTGAGGACGCTTCAGCCTCGGAGGGCGCCGTCAGGAGCAGTGGGGCAACTCCACATGGGACGGGCCTTTTATGGCCTGAATTGGAGAGCCCTGATCCCAGCTAATCTACCATAAATAGCTCTTGAAACTCGGAGGAGCCCATCAGCTGTTGCAACAAGCCTGCCCAGCAGCTACTTCAAACGCAATTAGATCATTCCCATTGTCTTCGGGCTCGTTTTATAGAGAAAGTAAAAATGCAACAGCGGTCTACTAAACGGGCTGCAACAATACAGAATGGAGTGGGCCAACATTTCTCTGACTCTAGTTTTTGTGCGAAGAAGGAACACGTAAGCAGGAACAAAGCGTAGATACCGAATGCTGCAAAGGAAGGGACAGACACGCACGTGTGTATACATTAAACCGCACACTAGGGTGGCACGGGCCTGTTTACAGGTTTACAAATTGTGGGGACATCTGTGGCTGTCTTCCCTCTTCCACTGACGGCAGAAAACGGGCCGTCAGGAGAAAGAATGGTGCCGGAAGTACTTTCTCTAAAACACACAAAGATTGTGTCTTAAAAGCACAGACGATGCTCCGAGCTAGCAAGATCGACCTTCAGAAGGCTCTCAGGTTGCCCACCTCACTTAAAAACCAGAGGAACCTTAACTAATGAAAAATAAATAAATACATACATACATACATACATACAAGTAAATAAGAATTACCACAATCACTTCTTAAAAGGCTATTTACGTTGTTTAGATACTAAAACTTAACAAAATTACTTACAGCTGGAGGTGTCCTTGCTGTCACCAAAAAGAGCAAGGTCTTAATTGTTCATCCTCACCTCGCTATACATCACAAAAGCTTTGGGCTGGAGGAAAAGCTCCGGGGCTGCCGCCAGGGTGCTGTGGGTCTGGCGTGGGTTCTCAGACCACCAGCTGCATCAGCCAGCAGAGGCCTCCCCAAGCAGGATCTGAATTCCTGTTATCAATTAACCCTGCAGGACAATGTTCTCCCCCCAAGCAGTCCTGTGGCCGATGAAAACAAGGCAGATAACCCCGGACGGCCGTAATAATTAAACACCGGCTTCGTGACTATGTGTGCAAGGGTTAAAAATAATATGTCCACGCCAAATTGTTTACCCACTTCAAGATGGCAAATAAAACCTCCCAGCTTGACTTCTGCTTCCAAATCTCAGTCAAGGTCACGGCCCTCATCTTATTTTCCCTTTGACTAATTTTGCTTTGCATCCATTTGAAATTTTATCTTATCTTCTTGTATGCCTTCATAGAAGTTTTCTAAAACTCCTCCCGGAGCAAAGCCGGGGTAAAATAGTTGACTCTCTGGGTCTTTTAACAAGATAGGAGGAGACAATGAATCACTGTTGCCACAACAGTGCAGGGTTTTTGTTTGTTTGTTTTGTTTTGTTTTTCCTTAAAAAGATTCACTCCCACAAAACAAACAGCTAACTTTTGGAGGCTTCTTAAATCCTGGCCCCCTGCTTCCCTGTAGCAACCAAACTGGCCTAGATTAATGCATCAGAGTCTAACAGAATAACACTCCCCAGCTTCCTCTTCTACACACCCTTTTTGCCTTTGCTCAAATCCCAGTTCATTCTACCTGTGCAACCTGTTTAAACATTTTCCTAAATATTTTTGCTAGCCACTAAACCCAGGAAACTCTCATTACACGCTTCTGTCCAAAAAGTGACAGTAATGGATCGGACATGCGTGAGAGATTTCATAATCTATCCATGAAGAAAATGGAAAATCATGTTATGAGTTGAAATAAGAACTAAACTTATACTAGACATTTTCCAAAATATTTGATAACTATTTTACATTAGCTATTATTTAGTACTACTATTATAAACAATATGGTAGTCTACTATTCTTTCTAGTAACTGCTCATTAAGTCCAGTTTTCTTACGAGTTTTAACCTGGCTTTTGTCTGCTAGTCAAGGAACTGTATCTATTTATGATATTGCTTCTAAGAGAAACCGCATCGTGTATCTATAACACCTATTTTATAACAAAAATGAACATGTGGAAACCAAAATTAAAAATACAACATTGGGATGCCCGGGTGGCTCAGTCAATTGAGTGTCCGACTCTTGATTTCAGTTCAAGTCATGATCTCACGGTTCATGGGTTCAAGCCCCGTATCGAGCTCTATGCTGACAATGTAGAGCCTGCTTAGGATTCTCTCTCTCTGCCTCTCTCTCTGCCCCTCTCACACTCATGTACACACTCTCTCTCTTAAAGTAAATTAAAACAAACAAACAAACAAAAAAAACCCACAACATTTACAATCACTACAAAGAAAATAAACCGTTTACATATAAACTTAACATATACAGGCTCTGTATGCTAAAAATCACAAAATTCTGATTAAAAAACATCCAAAAGACCAAAATACATAAATAGGTATATACTGTGCCCATGGGTTAGAAGGTCAACATAGTAAGTATGTCAAATCTCCCCCAAACAATATACACATTTAATGGAATTCCTACCAGCAAGATGTTTGATAGATATAGGTACGCTTATTCTAAAATTCATATACAGAAGCATAGGAGTTAGAATAGTTAAAACAATCTTGAAAAAGAATAAAGAGTTATTGGGGAAGCCTGGGTGGCTTAGTTGGTTAAGTGTCTGACTCTTGATCTCAGCTCAGGTCATGATCTCACAGTTTGTGGGTTCAAGCCCCACATCGGGCTCTGCCTGCTTGGGATTCTCTCTCCCTTCTTCTCTCTCTGCCCCTTCCCTGCTCAATCTCTCTCTCTCTCTCTCTCTCTCTCTCTCTCTCTCTCTCAAAATAAATAAATAAAACATTTTAAAAAAAGAATAAAGAGTAACCAATCTATTCCATATTAAGTTGTACAGTATAGTAATGGAATAGAGAACCCAGAAACAGACCCACACAAATATAGCCAACAGATTTTTGACAAAAGGCGCCTCTCCACCAAACAGCACTGGAACAACCAGACATCCGCTGGCAAAAAAAAAAAGAAAGAAAAAAGAAAAAAAAAGTGAACCTCAATGTCATTTTCACACTTCATACAAAAATTAACCAAAATGGATCGCAAAGTTAAACGGAAAATATGAAACCATTAAAAAAAACAAAACAAAACAAAACAAAAAAAACAGGAACAAACTATTGACGCTTGTAACAACTGGGATCAACTGCTGGGGAATTATGCTGAGTGAAAAAGAGAGCCAGTCCCAAAAGGTTATATGCGGTATGATTCCATTTAGATGAATCCCCCAAATGACAACATGGTAGAAATGGAGAACAGATTAGTGGTTATCAGAGATTAAGAATGGGGCAGTGAGGGAAGGGCCCTGAAAGAGATCCTTGTTATGGATCCGGGTTGTTCCATTGCTGAAACCATTAGGGAAAACTGCATAAAAGGCATACAGGATCTTTCTAGATTATTTTTTAAAACTGCATTTGAATCTGTCATCTCAAAATTAAACGTTGAACTAAACATTTTTTAAGTTTATTTGCTTTGGAGGGAGAGAAAGCACGAGTGGGGGAGGGGCAGCAAGAGAGGGAGACACAGAATCCCGATCCCGCACTGACAGTGTGGAGCCAAACACGGGGCTCGAACCCACGAACTGTGAGATCATGACCTGAGCCGAAGTCGGATGCTTAACTGATTGAACCACCCAGGCGCCCCTCACATTTTTTTATTTTTTAATTTTTTTGAAATTTTTTTTCAAAAAACCTACTTCAAATAAAACTTCCAATGTATCCCCTTTATATAAGTGGGCTACTTACTGTAATTGCAATTTAAATAAATCTATATAGATTGGCCTGTCATCAATGCCATCTTAAGAAATTCAGGTTAGAAATGTTTCTTTTTCCCTACAAGAATGGAAGTCCATTGATCCAAAGTGAAATATTTGATACAGAAGCGAAGGAAAAGCATTGCTCTCCAATTAAATGTTTATTTGGCAGGTTGCATGAACACTTAAAGGGAACCACTAACACCGAGGGCCTCTCCAACAATAAAACAGGATACCACCACGTCATTTTCAGAATTTTCAAGCCACTGCTCAAGATGATTTATTTTCAAAATCTGTATACATTCGAGAAACAGCAAGAAAACAACTCTTTAGAAAGGGAGGAGACGGAGTCATCTCAAAATTTAATGCTACTATAAATATCATGGGAAACAAGTTCAAACTCCAGAGTTCTACCGTTTGGAAGGTTTCATTCTTGAAAATAGAAAGACAAGACACAAGTGGCAAGAGGGCAGATGGAGAATGCTTTGTGCCCGACATCCGCTCAGACTTTGTGACGTCACACCTAGCTGCAAACATCTGGAACAGTCCCTCCTGAGGGCCCAACTAACTTCCATTAGACTTTTCTTCTTTTTTTTTTTTTTAATTTTTTTTTTTTTAACGTTTATTTTTTTGGGACAGAGAGAGACAGAGCATGAACGGGGGAGGGGCAGAGAGAGAGGGAGACACAGAATCGGAAACAGGCTCCAGGCTCCGAGCCATCAGCCCAGAGCCCGACGCGGGGCTCGAACTCACGGACCGCGAGATCGTGACCTGGCTGAAGTCGGACGCTTAACCGACTGCGCCACCCAGGCGCCCCATTAGACTTTTCTTCTAGGAAGGATGAGCTTTGAGCCAGGCCCTGTAACGCACACAGGATGTGAAGCTTCTTTTCATTTCATGGAGGAAGAGTGGCGCAAGCCCCAGAACATACGCTGGCTTCTGTGTGTCTCACCCCCAAAGTTCCCTCAGCCCCCTTTCCCCTCCGAGCGCTTGCCCATCTTACTCCTCTTTTCCTTCCACAACCAAGCTCCCCTTGTCCCCCCAGTCTCATCGTCCCCCCCGCCCCCCATCATTTTGCAGTTGGATTCTAGCTCCCTCCACATTCCAGAAACTGCTTCTCCAACCAGGGACCTTCCCAGTGCCATATAGACTTGGACGCTTTGTCATTGGACTCTCTACTCACTTCCACCTTCATGGAACATCCTCTTGTTAAGAATGTCCTAGACACTACAGTCTGGTCCTTCCCATGCCTGAAGACTCTTACTCGGGGCTTCACT